GCACTGATTATGATGGCACATCTGTCCCTCCTTCTATATTGAAAAATTTCAAACACACACGCACACTGCACCATGGGTGTGTGTGTTCCTGGGGTTGAACCCAGGGTCTCACATATGCTAGGCAAACACAGTGCCACGGAGCTGTGTCCCAGCATCCACAATAGTTTGACTACACTCTTGATAAGAGAGCCTGCTGCCACCAGAGGCCATCCTCTGCTTTTTTCTTGGTGATGGAACTCATCACTTAGCTGGGTATATAAAGCAGGTTCCATTTCTCAGCCTTTCTTGCAATTAGGTGTGCCCGTGTGTCATGTTCTGGCCAATGGGATGCAAAGGGGGGGTGAAGAGGTTTGATCCTCACTCTTTTCTCCTGCGGGCTATCTGAAGGTAGACCATACTGTGTAGTAAAGGCTAAGCTGGGAGACGGAGGAACCCCACATGGCTTAACTATCAGGACTGAGATCCAAGACCTCTCGAGTCAACACAACTTACTATTTGATCCCTAAAAATTATTGTTCAGGAAGATTTTATTAGCTTTTGACTAGCCAATAACTAGCTTCAATGTTTGCATCAGGAAATTTATGAGAAAGAATTTATTCTAACAAAAGATTGCTCATCTTGGCAAATAACCCCACCTCAGCAGGACAAATTATTCTCCTGGGTAAACAACTCACTTATCAAACAACTAAAGTTTATTCTTCAAGACTCCAATTTTCAAGACGCGGTGTGTCCATCAGGCCTAAACAGTATATCCAACTCAGCCCATCCTGTTAGATCCCAGCACTGAGCGATCTGCCTCGGACACCGAGGCCAAGCCCCCCACGCCTGCAGACATGGCCTGAGCCCAGCACCCTTCACACCAATGGTGTCCCCAGGGGATGCTGAGGTGGTTCCCCCTCCCTATTGCAGCCAGTTCCAGGACCTAGCTTTGCTCCATCAGCCGGTTACTCTGGTGGTTTGTAGGGGAGGTGGTAGTTGATAGTGATCCTGGGGGCCACTTAACAGCCCTGGACTTCATTCACATGAGAGGGACCTAAAGTTCTATCTCATCAGGACACTTACTTTGGGTTCTTGGTCCCTGGTGGCTGCTAGCACACGTCCCCCGCCTCCTCCATATCATGGTCATCTTTATGATTCACACCGCGGCCACCATGTAAGAGCACTGCCCACGTGTGAAAAGCACAGGACTAGATCTCTTTGCTTAACTCTGGGGCGTGTTGATCTGTGGAATTTCTTGTACATTTAGATATGAGCCTGATAAAACCAGTTTTAAAACAATCAAGTGGGCCAGGAGTGTAGCTCAGTGCACCTACTTAGCATGTAGGTTCCAGTCCCTAGGCTCTGTCCCCAGCTGCCCCAACACAAACACACACAATACCATAAAGTATACATCTAAGCAAGCATTGTTTCCTTCAACTTATTTACCTTAGGAATTTGTTCATCTTTTTTTTTTTTTTTTTAATATTTATTTATTTATTTTTCGGTGGACACAACATCTTTGTTTGTATGTGGTGCTGAGGATCGAACCCGGGCGAGCGCGCTACCACTTGAGCCACATCCCCAGCCCCTGTTCATCTATCTTAAAATGACTTTTGTAATTACATCTTGATTTGGATCCTGGTGGTTGACAGACTATCTTTTGTTTAAAACCCCTTTGTGGTCTGGGGCTGTGGCTCAGTGGCAGAGTGTTTTCACCCGGCACATTCGAGGCCCTGGTTTCGGTCCTCAGTACCACATAAAAATAAATAAAATAAAGGTATTGTGTCCAACTACAGCTAAAAAATAAATATTAAAAAAACTCTTTGTATGAATAATTTCAAGCATATTCAAAAGCGGAGAGAATAGCCTAATGAACAATTATCACTTCAGGACCATTACCCCAAATATTTCAGTGTGTATTTCCAAAAGATAAGGATGTTGGGGCTGGAGCTGTCACTCAGCGGTAGAGTGCTTGCCTCCTACGTGTGAGGCACTGGGTTTGATTCCTAGCACCACATATAAATAAGCAAATAACATAAAGGTCCATCAACAACTAAAAAATATATATATAAAAAAAGATAAGGACGTTGATGATGGTGGTGGTGGTGGTGTTGGGGACAGAACGCAGGGGAGCTCTACCACTGAGCCATATCCCCAGCCATTTCTGAGACATGATGTTGCTAATTTGCTGAGACTGGCCTTGAACTTGTGATTCTCCTTCCTCACCCTCCTGAGTTGCTGGGATTACAAATGCATACTACCATGCCTGAGGATAAGGATTATTTACTTATTTTTTTAATATTTATTTTTTAGTTTTAGGTGGACAAACATCATTTTATTTTTATGTGGTGCTGAGAATCGAACCCAGTGTCTCATGCATGCTAGGCGAGAGGGCTACCACTTGAGCCACATTCCCAGCCTGGATTATTTACTTATTTATTTTGGGAGTGGGGAGATCAAACCCAGAGTCTTGCATATACTAGGGAAGCACTTTACCACTGAGCTATACCACCAGCCCAAGGCTTCTTTAGAGACGTTAGGCATAATTCCATTATCTCACCTCAAAATTTGTAATAATTTCCTAATCTAATGTATTCAAATGGCGTTTACATTTTCTTGTTTAATTTTTTTTTTTTTTACTATTTGTTCAAAACAAGATGGAAATAAAGTTCATACGTAGCAATTGGAGGATGATTCAAGTCTGTTTTCTTTAAAATTTTTATTTGAAGGATAGTATACACAAAAAAAGAGAATACAAATCTAAGTGTACGGCTTGATGGTCTCCCCAATCTCTTATACACACACACACACATACACACACACACACATTTTAGTTGTAGGTGAACACAATACCTTTATTTAATTTTACATGGTGCTGAGGATTGTACCCAATGCCTCACATGTGCTAGGTGAGCGCTCTACCACTGAGCCACAATCCCAGCCCTCCCCAATCTTTTTTAATATACAGATTGGACTTTCTCCTCATTTATTCTTTAGAATTTATTGAAGAAGGGGGCTGGGGTTGTGGCTCAGTGGTAAAGCACTTGGCCTCGAATGTGTGACACACTGGGTTTAATTCTCAGCAACACATACAGATAAAAAGAATAAAATAAAGGTCCATCAACAACTGAAAAAGAAATTTAAAAAAATAATTTATTGATGATGGATGTCTGCTTTGAATTCCCAAGGTCTCCATTTATTGGATTTGCAATAGTTTGGATCTCGAATGTCCCCCCTCCCTCCAAGGGTTCATGGGCTAAAGGCCTGGTCACCAACTTCTGGCAATACAGAAGGTGGCAGAACCTTTAAGAGGTGGCACCTAGTGGAAGGAAGTCAGGTGACTGGGGCTGTGCCTTTGGAGGGTATATAGGGACCCTAACCCTTTCTTCTCTTTTTTGCTTCCTGGTCACTTTGAGATGAGCAACTTTGCTCCACCACATGCTCCAGTCGATTGTAATATTCTGCCTTGTTGCAGTCCCCAAAATAACAGAGCCAACTGACCACGGACTGAATCCTCTGATACCCTGAACCAAAATAAACTTTTTTCTTAAGTTGATTTTCTCAGCTATTTTGTTACAGTGACAGCTAACTAATAGGATCATTTCTCATGGTGTCATTTAGCATGTTTTTCTGTTCTCTAGTTCTTATAAATTGATTATTACATCTAGAGGTTCAGCAGACCAGGTTGGCATTTTGGTAAGATTGTTTCAATAGATGCTGCTGGGTACTATAACCAGGAGACTCATTGTACCTGAGCAGTCTTTTTCAGCAATGTTTTTCTTTCTTTTTCTTTTTCTGCTTTTGCAGTGCTGGGATCTACACCAGGGCCTCACCACATGCCAGGCAAGCACTCTGTCACTGAACTACATCGCTAGTGAGCTGCTTCTTTCAAAGCATCTTTTGATCGTTGGATGTCATTTCTACACACAATCAAAATCCATTCAGAATGAATCTAGCAAGTAACGTGGGTGATCGAACAGAAAAATGATGGTATGAGCTGAAAAATAAGGTTGATCACGTAATGACTGATTTACTTGTGTAGCTGGTAAACAGGCCCTGACGGAAATTCCAAAACTGTTCCGAGCAAAGGCAGCCTCAAATGCAGCCACCCAGGTGACTAATGTGATCGGAACAACAGTGACATTGATGGAGAAATTGTCTGGTGCTTATAAAGCCACTTTTCTATGTGGGTGGACGTTCCAGGCATCCCTTTGTAGTCATTAGCTCCTTTTAAGGACCCCTGCTTATCTCAGTGTGTTGCGCTTCAGTTTTGGAACCTGAGCTGGGGCGGCTGTGCTCTTGCTGCCACGCGAGACCTACCTAGCAGCCCACTGAGGACGCTCGTCGCCTGTCTTAGCTCCAGCCCACGGCCTGCCACTAGAGTCGTATGCTGCTCCTGGGTTCCACCCAACCCCTCCCCGGGCCTGGTGTTGGCCTCTTGTCCATTACCCGCCAGAATGTGGTCGGGGCACTGTCGGGTGCCTCCTGCTCTGGCCAGTCAACAAAAAATGAGGAAGGCCAGGAGGAGCGCCGGAGGCAGGCGCCAGCCCGGGGAGCAGCAATGCGGGAGGCCCGGCCTATTCTCACGGTTCACAGACCGCCCGCCACAGCTCCGCGGAGCTCCCCGCGCAGCACGAAGCCCCTCCGGCCCCACGCCACGCTGCCGGCTATAGGCGGAGCCTCGCCCCTCTCCCTGTCCCGCCCCGAGAAGCAAATTAGGCGGGGCCACAGGGCTTCTGGCAAGACCCGCCGTGCGTCAGGACCGACGTCTTCCCGAGCTCCTCCCACGCTCGCAGGCCCCGAGCGTGCGCCTGCGCGGTTCGGGCCCGGCCCGGGTTGTCACCCCACCCCCTCCCTAGCAACCGCCGCCCGCCCCCGCCCCGCCCCCGCCCCGGCCGCGTCCGCGCACGCGCGCCGCTTTCGGCACCCGGCCCCGCCCTCGCCGTCGCCGTAACAACCGCTCGAGCCCTCGCCGCGCCCCTCGCAGCTCCCGCCCAGCCCCCTCCCCGGAACCGGCGGTCGAGCGGCAGCCGCCGGGCAGTGGAACTGCGACGGCACCGCGGAGCCGCCGGCATGAGCTCCTCCCGCAGCCCCGCGCCCCGGGTTCGGCCTTTCTGACAAGAGGTAGGTGCGCGTCCCCGCGGCGGGCTCCGAGCGCGCCCCCGGGCGGCCCCGAGACGCTCCGGCCGCCTCCCGCCCGCCTCCCGCCCGCCCGCTCCGAGCCCGCGCCGGAGCGCAGCCCGGCCCCCTCCCCGATCCCGTCCTGCGGGAGCCGAGCTGCGGCCGCGCTCCTGCCGGCCCCGGAGTCCGCGGCGCTGGCCCGGCCCGGCCCGGCCACGCCGATTGTCATGCAATAGAGGCAGTCGGGTCCCGGACCCCGCGCCGCGCATCCGAGCTGGCGCCCGGCGGGTTCAGGGAAGCGGCGAGTTGGCGGGTCCTCGGCTGGAGTCACTCCCGGCTCCGACAGGCCGGGTAGCAGCGGACGGGCCGACGGTTTCCTCAGCGAGCACCACCGTGTCTTGCATCCTCTCCCTCCCCTGACCTCCCCCGGCAGTCGTCCTCCTCTGTCTGGGAGATACCGTAAAATTAATTTTCCCAATTAAAAATTTAAAAGCTTATTAGAGCCCCACCGTGCACCGGCACTGTACGGTTTGCAAAGTGAATAGAACGTGGTCCCAGCGCCCGGGACGCGTCAGCTCCAGGGTCCAGATGAACGCAGACTCGGAGTGGAGTTTGCAGAACTCAAGAGTTTGGCTCCGGTTATCATGATTTTAGAGCTGTGAGTGTTTCAAGATCATCTTTCCCAAACCTGGTTTTATAGAGATGGAATTAAGGGAGGGCAAATGGCTTGCTGGAGGTCACCCAGAATTATTCCCTCGCAGTTTTCCGACTGTCAGATGGCTTGTTTTCCAGCATAACCTGCTCCTCTGAGAGATATGCCAAATAAACATACCAGAGGAAGTTCCAGGCCTGTTTAAAGTAATGTAAACATGGTAGAAATGCGGTAATATAGAGAGCAGTTTTCTGAAATAAAATCCTCATAATGTCTTTTTTTACAGCTAGACTTTGGGATCCTTGAGGCTATTCAGCTATGCACTTTTGAATATCCTCTCACCATATTCAACATAACATTCTTAATGATTATCCTCAGCAGGACAGGTAGGCTTATTTGATTTATTTTTTCCTCCTCACTTTTCTCTTCCCACTTTTAGTTAGGTGAGTAGAGTCCCAGGTGTGTTTTCAGAAACCTCCAGTGAGGCTGGCACCAGAATGATTTTGTGCTGGAGGGGGGTTCCTTGGTGTGTGGGTGAAGCTTGAGCAGGGCTCGAAGCCTCAGAGCCATCACAGCTCTTCCAGGCTGGAGTGTTCAGGGAGCCCCTAGAACTGCAGTGCTCAGCCTCCCTGTCGCTTGAAGACTGATCTCTGAAATTGTAGTATACACAGAAGACAGGACATGATGAAAGTGCTGTTTGGGAACCAGCATTTTGAGGGGTACTCCATGATTTGAGATACATAGTATTTTTCCCCTGCTTTTTTGTGTTTTCCCCAGAGTTGAGTAAGACGTTAACCATTTTTAAAAAAAGTTTTCCTAGTTATACATGGACACATTATCTTTATTTTGCTTATTTGGTTTTACATGGTGCTGAAGATCGAACCCAGTGCCTCACATGTGCAAGGCAAGCGCTCTGCCACTGAGCCCCAGCCCGATGATGACGACCATTTTTATTTGGCTTTCAGTTGAAGTTGTTCAAAAGAAAATAATTGGACTAATTGAATCCTAGCATTTTCTTCCTAGGAAGGACTAGATCATGGAACCCAGGGCAGGGCCCAGCTACACAGATGAGGGCAGTGGAGGCCTCCACCCTCAGACCAGTGTGGTTCCCTTGTTCCCTTGGGCGTACTTTGCCTTTTTTATTGTCTCACTACCTCCCCTGCCATTGTGTATTTCAGTATCTTTCGATTTATGTGTGCATAGAAGTATGACTTATTGTGGTCCCTTTTTAGCCTTAGAATGTGGGATGATGTGTTGATGCAGACTTATTTTTTCTGTATAGTGGTGGTTTATCACATATGGGTATGTTTTGCAGGTGTGAGAGGATTGCTATTGTACTACAATCATGGTGCAAAAATACCAGTCACCAGTGAGGGTGTATAAACACCCCTTTGAATTAATTATGGCTGTAAGTACTGTACATTTCCATTTACTCTTTGGCTTCTTATTTTTTAAGTCTTAGAATCTGATGCTCTGTAAAACTTAACGTGCATTGTTTGTCCCCATTGCTTCACTTAGTCTGTTTACATGCTCATGAACTGTATTGTGTGTAAGATGTTTTTAAAACATAAGCCGCTGAAATTCTGCATATTTGTTTTATAAAAACACCCCTCAGGATCATGTGTGAATTCGCGTTAATTCCCCCTTTAAAAATGCAGAAGTGGGATTCTGACTAAACACTTCCTATGAATTTTGTTCTGTTTTTCCTTTTTGGTTAAAGTAGCAGAGGGACGTGGCGTGTGGGTTCTTACCTGTGGGAGCGAGCTCTGGTTGTGGGTGACTGCAGGTAGTCTCCGAGGAGCACTGGAAGGGGGCCTGCCTCGGCTCTCTGCTGCCTGGGCTTCCCACCTGACAGCAAATCTGTGAGTCAGATTCCACAAATGAGATAACTGAAGTTTCATTTTCTTGTTGTTATTTGCCTGAAAATTTGGCTAAAAATAAACATTTGATTGGACAGAAAAACTGTTCCAGGTACTTTTAGGTTATGTGTAGTAATGCTCCTTGCCTTCTCTTTTGTGTTATTATAAGGGTATGATATACCTTCAGGAACACGTGATAGCTCCAGGAAAAGGCTCTCACTGTCACGCACATGCATCCCTAAGGAAGTGTCACACTGAACACACCAGGGTTCTGAAACCAGGGTCAGTGAGCCAAGTTGCACTTGGCTCCTTTGGGTCCCCCCCACCTTCTCAAAGTGCTCCAGTACCCTGACTTCTAACACTGAAGGTGACTGGGCTGGGGATTTGCTCCAGTGACATGGCTTCTGCCTGTTATTCGCAAGGTCCTGAGTTCTATTGCCAGTTAGTACCCCCACCCTCAAAGTAGAAAGAAAAGTTCCAGTCTAAGGGATTAAGGGGAAGTTTTGTGGGTGTTTTATTGAGGCATAACTTACATATAGCAGATGGCTACATGTTAGCCACATAGTTTGATCAGTTTTTTTTTTTTTTAAATTTTTTTGGGTTGTAGATGGACACAATACCTTGATTTTGTTTATTTATTTTTATGTGGTGCTGAGGATCAAACCTGGTGCCTCACACATGCTAGGCAAGGCTCTGCCACTGAGCTACAACCGAGCCCCAGTTTGCTCGGTTTTTTTTTTTAGATTGAAAGCATGCCTTTATTTTATTTGTTTTTTTTTTTATGTGGTGCTGAGAATCAAATCCAGTGCCTCACACATGCTAGGCAAATGCTCTGCCACTGGGCTACAGCCTCCGTCCTGGTCAGTTTTAAGATGGGCTGGGGATATAGCTCAGTTGGTAGGGTGCTTGCCTCGCAGGCACAAGGCCCTGGGTTCAATCCCCCGCACCACCACAAAAAAGAAAAAAAGGAAGAAGAAGAGTCACCCCCACCTCTGTCAAGACAGAGTATTTGCATCTGCTACCCCAACAAGTTCCTTGTGCTCCCTCTGTCAGGTGTGAGACTTCTGTGTGTATGGCTGTTTCTGAAAAACACTTCTTTCTGTATTTCCCTTAAATATATCTGAGTGGCGCTGCCTAGTATCTGATGAATGACAGGTCGTGTCTGAGAGGCTTTGCTGTCCGTCTGCGTCTCTCTTGCTGGTTTGGCTTTGGCTGTGTGGAGCAGAGGCCGCTCCAGCCAGCCTGAAAGGGAGTTTTTCTGTTAGCAGCCACACTTGTGGGCTGTAGGAATCTCACAGACATTGAGGGTTTCCAGCTGGGACAGGCTGGAGCCTGGTGGTGGAGGGGGCTCTTGGCAGCTCTAGGGCCTAGGAGCAGTTGTCCCTGGAACTTCACCCCATGGGACCCCACCTTGCTCTATCTGCCAGAACTTTTTTGTCTCCCCACCAACTGGCTTCTTGCTCACTCTTTGCCCTTCCCTGTGGCTTCAGCTCAAGTGCTTTTCCAGTTGGCCAAAACCCTCTGGCTCCAGTTCCACTTTGTGGCATTTCTTGTTGTGTTCTTTTAGTTTCTAAGTGACCAGTTCTTGTCACATTTCCTAGTTCACGTTTTTGAAAGAAACTTGATCTGGTCCACTTCTCCCCCGACCTGAACTACAAGCGGTTGGCCAGCTCGCCTAGTGTCAGCCTTGGGTGGGATGCCTGACCCTGGCCAGTTCCTGAGCTGGTGGGGTGGGGGGAGGAGGTGTGGGGATAGTAGGGACCGAAAGGCCATGAGGAATGAAGCCGCATGTCTGCCCCACAAGGGAGGGGCTGTGGACAGGGCGTGTTGTTTTTTGGAGCCCCAAGTGTGATTTAAAAAGCAGTCTGCTGATCTCTTCTCCAAACACTAGATTTAATAAAGAGGCATTTTGTCTAATTTTCAAACTTCCTTATTTCCCTTACTTTACTATTTTCAAAATTGAGAAGTTTGCTTTGCAAATTTCATGCATGAATTTACAGAAGAATTCAAAAATCAAATTTGAATTTCTTAAAAATTAAGCCTTTGTAAATTGCTTTTGTTTTGAGTCGTTGTTAATTTCCTTTTGAGTTGTTAAAAAATATATATTGCTTTTCTCCTTCCTAAACCAGGATATTCGTTAAGTCATTAGGATTTTTGGTGCACTTGCCCCTTTTCTGACTGTAGTTGTGTGGCTTAACATCCTCAGTATTCACTCATTTCGCTTTTTTTTCTCATTGAGGAAAAACAACTGTGATAAGAGGAAGCATTTGGGGTGAGGAAGAAGGGCTGCAGTCAAGGCAGGGACAGCACTGTAGCTCTCAGTGAAATATTTGTGAGAATCTCAAAAAGACCGTGCTTCAAAAATCACAGTGCACAGCAGAGTCCAAGGAGTGACAAGTGGGGTGGCATTCAGCAATAGGTGATTTTATTAGGGGTCCTAATTTATATGTGTCCCCATGGAGAGAAGGATTGGGAGAAAACAAACTTGCCCAACTTGAGCTTGCGTTGGTTTGCTTTAACCAAGAGTTGAATTGTAGCTTAGGATTCATTGATAGAAAATGGTTCAGGTGGAAAGTTCCTATTGCAGATAGGTAACCAGCGGGGCCAGACATGTCCTTTGCATTTCAGTCAATTTAATGAAGACTTATCATTGTTTTGGGGTCAGCAGCATTGAAAAAATCACATTAATGGTCTCATTAACTTTTTTTTTTTGCAATGCTGGGGATTGAACCTTGCATGGGCCACGCCAGCACTGTACCACTGAGCCATGTCTGTTCCCAGCCCTCCCTTAACACATTGGAATTAAAGTGTGGTGAGGAGGAGGTTCCTAGTAGGCATTTGCAGCACTTTGAAGTACTTTGTCAGATGTTAGCCCAGAAATGGACACTGGAGCCAAGATAGTGCTGCCCCTCCAGCTCTGGGGGAGGAATCCGAGATGCCACAGTGCAACCTGCAGTCAGTGGCAGAGATCTGATTCTTGAGTTTAGTGTTCTTTTTATCACACTGTGCTTTTCCCTGCCCCCCAGTAATGTGTATCTGGAAACATCTTATGAAAGGTCTTGTCCATGAAGATGGCCTCAAATCTAGTGTCACCCAAACACATTTCCCAGGGCTACTCTCCTGGCACGGGGGAGGAGAAATGATCCGTGCAGATGCCCCAGCTGAGTGTGCCTGCAAGGATGTGGGGTCTCCCTTGGCACAGGATATGCCCCACAGATAGGAGCTTGGAAGGGGAAGCAGCAGGCTGAGGTGCTTGGGTTGGAGGTTTCCTGTGAACTGCCTAATGAGGCCTTTTCAAGTGCAGCCCCTCCCCAGGCTAGGGCCCCCTGGCTGACAAGTGGGAGGAGAGCAGGCCTGAGGGGCCACATTGGGTGGATCTGTTTTCCACACAGGGAGGGGCTCCATGACGAAAGGGGCTCCGCTAGCTCCTGTGTGTCTAGGCACTCTTCTCCGCTGTCCCTGCCCTCCTGGGCCTTCCCTGTTGCCCAGGCAGCCTCGCCCCTCCCCTTCTCTCTCCCTCCCCATCTCAGTTCCCTCTTTTTTGGCAGTGCTGCTTTTCTCCCCAAACCCTTTTCTCCTCAGTGTACCCTCACAGGCACACTGTGTTAGTTGTGCCTTCAGGTCACACGGGTCTCTGTCCCTTTCTCTCCCAGCCACCAGCCTGCCTTCTAGTGGTCTGGGAGGGGTGAACAGACATGACTTGCTGGTTTTCCTCCTCCCATCTTTTAGCCCTTCGAGTCATCCTGCGTTCTCTTCCTCACACCTCCTGTTCTGTCAGTCCTCTACTGCAGGATCCCGCTGCCTGTCCCCTGCTTCAGAACCCCGTGGCTCTGTCTTTAAGGCTCTTTCTGCCTGTGTCCAGCCCTTCCTGTTTTGCCTATTTCACAAATTGTGCACACTTCCCAATTTGAACTTTTATTTTATTTTATTTGTTTATTTATTTTGGTCCTGGGGATCTAACTTGCATAAAAGGCAAGCTCTCTACCAATGGAGCCCCAGCCCTAACTTACATTCTTTAATGTTCTGGTCTGCTTGAGAGCAGTATCCTTCCTGCCCCTGCCCTGCCCCTTTTCTTTGGCTCAGATGTTTGCCTTTCTCATCTGTCTTTGTAAATCTTCTTCATCTTGTCTTGCCTCTCCCCTGATGCCTCTCCAGGCCTGCCTCCTGTCTCTCCTCCCTCTCTTACATCTCCTCCCCTTTCCTCTTTTCTCCCACCTTCCCCTTTGCTGGGGATGGAACCCAGGGCCTCCTAGTGCTGAGCAAGCCCTCTACCACTGGGCTCCACCCCCAGCCCTGCTCAGTTGCCATATTACTTACTGTATTTGCTGTTCTTCTCAAAGGTCCTGAGTGTCACACTTCAGCTATTTTGCACGTTCCTCCAGGGCACTAGCTTTTTGTTGTCTCCCAGTGTTAAGTGGTCAAGTGCGTAGATATACTGATGTGTGTGGTCAGGGGGTTTCTCTTTGTTCATGTGAACTTTGAATGTGAGGACTTTTTAAAAGTGGCCTTGGTGGAAACAGATCTAAAATGTAACTCCAGGGCTGGGGAT